ACACACACACACACACACACACACACACACAGTGAGCAAGTCAAGCTCTGAGTTTCGCTGTGCTTCTATCTTCAGAAACAGGGGAAAAAGGTAGATAGTTGTGGCTGGATGTAAACTAGACAAGCCTTAATCCACACTCAGGACGTATAAATTCACAAAGCAGACTGACTGTACACTGACTGAAACGGTACAAAAATACTTGTTAAAGGTTGACAAGATCAGAGGAAAAGTTGTTTGGCAGTTGCGTGATGACAAATTTGTGTCCCTGTCCTCTGACTCACAGGTGTTTCCCCCTCAACCGAGCATTCCTCCACAAGCATCAAATCTGCACATGATTTGTTCCACAATATTGCTGCAGTCAGACAAAAAAAAATAATCTGTATGTGAAGAAAGGGCTGAGGAAGAGGAATTCCTGTTGCTGTTTACTGGCACCAACTATATCATCAACTCACACATTTCAAACTGAAATGGCTTTAAAAAAGTTTTGTTATGATTTTTATCCTACTAAAAAAGAGTTGTACCTGCTTAAAGAAAACTTATGCGTGCTCTTAAAATACAATGTTGTGAAGTAGCCATGGAAGTCCCTTTTGTCAAATAAATTATAAAAGTGTAAAATACTGTATATGTAGCTATATTGGCAAGTTGTATCAGATATCATCAAGTGCATCTCTCTGTCTCTAATCCCACACAGAAGATCAAAAACAACTCTATAAATACAAATCAGTTCTTTAAAGAGTTTTCGCGTAACTTCCTGTTTCTCTCTACATTCATCAAATCAGTTCATTCGGTTCAATGCAGCTGCGAGGTCTATGAAATGTAAATAAAAAATGGTTGTATAAATTCATATGTGAGATATAAATAGAAAAAAATGAATCACCTAATTCATATTTTACTTTTTGTACCAATTTTTTTTTTTTAAATTAAAAATCCTGTGACAGATCATCACAGCATGGCTAGTTTGGGACAACACAAACATCTATTTCAACATATAAAAAACATAATAATGCTACATGCATTGTTATTAACATATATTGGGCTGAAAAGAAACACCTCTGCTTGTTGTCACAAACTAGACACAGATATGTGCTTACAATGATCCTGGTGTGTAGGCTTCCCTCATCACCTGGTGGTAAATCTTCACTTCTCAAACAAAGAAAGCACCCAAACTCAAGTTCTGAGGTCTCAGTGGAAAAGCAGAGCTAATGCTTTTTGTGCTAGTGTTTGCTGGTGGATGATGCCAAGGAGGAGAACTGGGAGGCAGAGGTTTGTCTTTCTGTGCTCTTTGAGTCTGTGTGCCTTCAGTAGTCAACGTCACGAGTCCGGACACTGAGTCGGACGAGGCAACTCTGACCCAACGCTGTCGTCGGGCGAGTGACGGGGAAAAGCTGACCCGCTTCCTATTTGGCTGGGCTGGTCGAAGCTGGGGCTAGCTTTCCTGTATATATGTGTGTGTGTGTGTGTGTGTGTGTTTGTATGTGGGAATAAGTTGGACCGATATGGGTTTCTGAAACTATTAAAATGAATGATGTTTTGTGACAGTATTAAATATTCTTTAGTTCAGCATTTATTGACAGATTATTCTGGTAAAGTTTGAAAGTAAAATTCTCCATTGAATTCCAGACTTTTTTTTTTTTTTTTTTTTAGGGCTAGCAGCTTTTTAAATCAAATTTACACAGGTGTTTTTGCAGGTCGGTATCCATATTTAATCCAAAAGTGTAATTCTGGTAAACCAATATCAGCCCAACCTTTGTGTGTGACTGCTGTTGTGTGAACTGGTAGCATGTTTGTGAGCTTTGTGACTCAGAAACAGGAACATTGTGTGCTCTTTTGTCTACTTTTTCCAGTTCAAAAGCTCTCGACGAAGCTGCTGGGAAACAGGCCGGTCTGTCCCGTCCTCTGCAGGGTGCCTTTATACCAGCCGTCCTCCCGCTTCTTATGGACAAACACCACGTCTCCTTCCCGCAGCTCGATCTCCGCCTCGCTCTGCGGGGGGTAGGGCACCACCACACGATACCTGCCACACACAGAGACAGTAATAACACACATAATGCTGTTGAGTCGCGTGGGCATCATCACATGCTGGAGCAACCCATCCGAGGGAATTCAATCTGTGCATGTATCACTGGAGACTTTTTTTTTTCACAATAGGTAATCAGTATAGAGAAGGTATTCCCAGTACGTTCACAGCTACAGAAACTGGTGTGAATTATGGGTAAGAGAAAACCCATCAATTTCTTTAATGGATTCTAGGATTTACCTGTATTTTGTGGTCATGTGTTCACTCACAATTGTATCGAATTTTATTTTCTATTTGTAGCTAAATAGTTTGTTGACATTCAGGCTTTAATTAAACAACTGGATTCAGTCTCAGCTGTAGCTGAGTGACAAATTCTATCTCAGTAAAACTTTATTAATTAACATATTAAATTGTTTTAGTCAGGATTTTTCTCCTCTTGAGAAGCAAGCTGAATATATACCTGCAACAAATTTCTGAACAGTTCAGAGCGTGACTACTTCCACTTGGCTTTGACAAATAATAGCGAAAAACTGAAATGTGACACAAAACAACAGGCAGTGTGATTTATAGGAGAGTTTCTGGCCTTAGCGCTGTTTTGTGTTATATCTGGAAGCCAGTAAGTGCATATCAGATGTTATGGTAACCATTATGTCTGTGTTTCGGTGTACCACTGTCCCCCAGGGTTTGACATTTACCAAAATATTGGTAAGACAAGATTGTTTTTCCCCTCTGCTTCTCTCTCTTTCTCTCTCTCTCACTCACACACACACACACACACACACACACACACACACACACGCGCACACACACACACACAGAAGGAGCAGTGTTTGCTGTGATAACCAGTGCTCCCAGAAGAGAGACATGCTTTATTCCTCTTTCATGTCCTGTGACACAGTTGTAGTGTCTGTAAGTGTGTTCTTCATTTTACAGGTTTCCACTGAGGAATATGAAGTGTGTGTGTGTGTGTGTGTGTGTCTATGTGTGTGTGTATGTCTGCTGGTATGTGTATAGTTGCATCTCTCTCGCAGAGAGAAGGATGATCGATTGATGATTCACAGCAGCTGTAACTGTTGCTCCTGGCCGGCACTAATGGACTGACTGCTTACAGGCATCCGAGTGAAAACCATCACCTTGATTAAACCCCTGTGTTACTTTCCCACACACATACTTTCCCCGCAGTAATGACTTATTGCTCATAAAGGCGCCTCTGGCTGGTTCTGACTTTGTTTCCATTTATCCTCTGCTTGTGCTTTTGTTATCGGTGAGTTTAATAACTCTCTCAGGACTGACGTGTCTTTCTTCACACTCTGCATCCTCATGACAAATCCTCCCTGCCCTAAATTTTACCGTTCTGTCAGGATAGTCAAATATTTTTTGTCAGGATTATTATGGTCAGTTGTCACATAAAAATTACTCACAGTATTTGCTGTTGTGCACATGTACACACAATGTGACGGAATAAAGCTTTTTAATCACTGTAGAAACTAAAACTAAAACCATGTTTGACTATATATTGTTGTTCCCACAAATTGCAAGACTAAATTGCCAACAGCCTATGCAGTGAGAATACTCTTGTGTTTGAGCAGTTTCCCAGATTGTTAACATGTAAATATGTATGTTTTCCTGTGTCTGTGTTTCGTGTGTGTGTGTGTGTGTGTGTTCACCTCTCTCTAGACAGGGGTTTGGGTTCGGGCCGGAGAACCATCAAAGGGTTGCCAACACGTGTTGCTGGGGGTGACATGGGGAAGTTGGTATCCAGGGAACCGGACTTCCTGTGCAGCGGCTCCAACCCAATGGCCCCTGCCATCTCGCTCTCAATTGGACAGGATCCGGCTCGCCCCTGCGACGCCATTGGGCAGGAACCTGAGCGGGCGTGGTGGTGATGGTGGTGAGAATGGTGGGTGGGGTCAGCCAATGAGGGGTTGTGGGTGGGCGGGGAGGAGGGAGGTGAGCGAGGTTTCTTCTTAGCCGCTGCCCCTGAGAGGAGCTTTAATAAACCCCCCGCTTTCCTCTCCTTCTGAGGATGGAGGGATAGAGGGAGGGAGGAACAAGAGAACAAACAAACAAACAAACAAACAAACAAACAAACAGAAATGCTGGTAAGGATCATTGTTTTCCTGAGATATACAGGAATATATGTTTTACAAGGCTTCTCATAACAGAAAGTGACAAGTGAAAGTGGAAAGTGGTGTAAACAATATCTCTACAGTATATATTGTTTTTCCTTCTCTCTACATAAAAATCTACAGGACATAAATACACTCTCCACATATTCAGCAAAAATCACATTTATGAACAAATAAAAATGTTTTCCTGTTGACTCATCACACAAGAAATAAAACTGGTAACCACTTTTGTTTCAGACAGTGAAGCAACATGAGCTGTTTTTCCTGTCAATATGGACAAACCCTCTGAAGGTTTGAGAAAACCAACATCTCCAGGCAGAGGAACGATACAGGAAATGTCTTTTTTTTATGCAGCTGTTTTTGTGCTGTTTATGCTGTGAGGACACTGGGGACATTTTGGAGACATTTTACCCCCCTTTAAATATGGGATGTGCCCAAAAGTTACATGTGAAGATCAATACCACTCTAATGTCTGTGCAGCCAGGGGTTTGAGAGGAAGTGACATGATGCAACTGTTTCTTGACAAAAGACAGTTTCTTCATTCACCTTGTACCTCTGTGCAGCGTCTCCAGTGGTTGCCTGGTAAGCTGATTGTGATTATGAAGACTCTGGGAGGTTAATGCTCCCGGCTGTTGTTTGCCAAGAAATAATTACAGCAGGTAACTTCCTGTGATAGTACAAGTTGTTGTTTTTACATCTCTACTTGTTGTGCGGATTAGACAAACAAGATACAATGTGTTAATATATTATAGCAGATTTTTCAACTGTGAACAGAGCCAGATTGTTTTCCCTTGTTTCCAGTCTGTAAAGATCCGTACTTCGTGCACAAACATGAACACTGTATCAACCTTCTCGTCTCAAGTGTATCTTTCAAAATGTGGAACTATTCGTTTAGACCAGTGTATACTTTGAGATACAACTGAGACTACAGAGTGAGATTTCCAGGTTTTACAATTATAGCCAAACCAAAATCACAGTGTTGGTTGTTAATGTTGCCAGATTTGTGGTAGTATTTAACACATTAGGACGGGCAGCTTGTGCCTTTAAGATTTAAAAATTCTCCCTCATCTGGCAACCATAACGTCATGTTGAGTATTTCCGGTGAGCAGAATAAATAATACGAAAAAATCCCTTTCTCTCTCCCGCCCTTCACTCGTGGCTCAGAAAGAATAAAATTATGGCCATGGCAGTGGTTATTACATTGAGTAACTCGGAAAGGACATGTTGTGAGTGTCAATCACAATGTGTATTTTGGACAAACAGTTAGCTACAGTAATGATGCTTCAAGCTGAATTTATGTCCATCTGCTGGCCTGGTCTATTAATAAAATGTTTTTGAATGGTATATATAAAGGGAGATACATGCTTTTTCATTCAGGCTGCAATATGGAGGGCGTGTAGAGCACTGTCCATTCAGCCAAACTCTGCAGTACCAGGAGGACAAACCGGCTTTCTCTCTTTTGCTGCTTGTTGCTGATTTTACACTCTCAATCATGACAGCATGGATCAATACTGAGCATGCCTGAGGATGATTACAATTTTGTGGCGATGCAGGGAGCCTTCATATCAGCTGTCTCCACCTCAGCCATCTGTTTCTTTAACATAGTGGGCTGCTGGATCAGGCATCAGCTTTGCTTTACACCCATTCTTCTATCAAACACTGTCTTTGCAATGCTGTGATGGACAGTTGTCATGGAAATGGCATGGAGTTGCAAATATAAAAGCTTAGAAACAAAATGGAAAAGTCAGAATACAAACTGCTGTTTTATTACGGGTTAGCACCGGAGTGAGTGGAGGAGAGAAAGAACATAAAGAGAGCTTGTGACCTGTTGACCACATAACCTTCCCCCAAGAATCCTTATTGAATAAGGGACTCACAAATCAAACTCTTCCAAGAGACGTGTTAAAAACAGCTGATTTGAAGTTGAAATGTGTGAAATGCTAATAACAGCAAACTTAATAAATATGATGGACATTTCTCAGTAGCAGCATGGAGAGCATGTGCAACTGCAGAGTTTTCACTGCACTCTGTTGTACAGACAGATCAGCGTCAAGCATGAAGAGCTGCCAGGATTCATGTTAAACGTGATAATGGGTATAAATGTTCTCTGTTGTCACTATGAAGTCGGTGGTGGAGCAGTTGACATTAAAGAGAATGTAGATGGGGACAGACACATCTAGATATTATATTATTAATGCAGAGAGCCAAACTGTCATCAGGCAAACAGCAGCAGCAGCAGCAGCAGCAACAGCAGACGCACATGATGCCCAACCAGAAGGGACATGAGCAGGTAAATCTGTTACTATGCAACATAAACCTCTGCTGCAACGTCTTGAACACATTGTTAACAATGACCCATAATTCACAGCACTTCAGCAGCAAAGGAACAGATTGTTAAACTTTAAGTCCCTGAGCTGGTAATTACTTCTTAAGCTAATATCAAGTTCAACTTCACCTTACATAAGAGTGCTACAACTGTATCTACACTATATTTAACGCTGCCTCCTAACATACAGTCAGCAAGCAAACTCAAAGCAAAAAAGAGTCCTCATATGGTGGAGCTAGAGCAAGCACTTCTGCTCCCTCCCACAAAATGTTGTGTTCACTAACACTAATGTTCACTTGCAGAAAATTGTGAAGTCTGCACACTCTTATCTAACAAATCACATCTAGAACATGTGTGTTACGTCCCACATTACCAAACTACCGTGCCATGTGTTGTTCATCTGAATATTTGTATATATTCAATTATAAGCAAAACACATTCTATTATTAACAGCAGGAACATCCAGAGCAAAGTTAATTTACACAGAGTTTGGCTTCTTTTCTCAGGTTCAGGTGTTTGAGTGATATTTGTTTCTGTGCAAACTCTCTCAACTTTCACCACCTGACCTAAAGACTCTGTCACCATTGGAAGAAACATCTCTACAGTCCTGAATACATCATTATTGGTTTCTCTGAGGGTAGTTTAAGCCTCATCTTTTCCTTTCCTTTTCTCCACTTGAAATCATTTCTCTGTATCAGTTTTTCTACATTTCATATAACAAACATGGCACAGCCTTACCAACACTGAGAGGTTATGCTGGGATAATTGTGACTTATAATCACATTACACAGGACACTTCCTCTATCTATTTTATATTTTAGATAAATCTGTCTCTTCCATCCCTTATTTTTCTACCACCACTACCCACTGGTCCCTGTGGTAAGTTCGCCCAGCTGTCACACCAAATTTGCAAGCCTTTGCAGATGGCTCTGTAATACTGAACAAGGCTTGAAGCAAAAACCTGTTTGTGCTCCATGAACAATTTCTCGCTATTTTCTGGCATTTTATAGGCCAAAAGAGCTAAATTTAACAGCTAGCTTCAACCACTACACCATGAGCAGCCAAAAACACGGACATCCCACTCAAACAAAAATGGATCTTACAACTACGTGGGTTGATAATTAAATGTTGTGACACACTACACTGTTACCAAACACAAAGTGACAAAACAACATCATATAGGAATATCTGATCAAAATCTAATAATTGAAAATGGAGGTAATAACAATTCATAGCCCTAATGACAAGTCTTAGTATAGAGTGGGACAGCACAGTCAAAAAAGTGCTTACAAAGCACTTAGAGCGCTTGTATAAACACTTTGACTCAGCAGAGCCACTATAGAAAAATAACAGCATTCCTTTCCTCTATACTACAAGTGCCAGTGCTTTGGAGTTATGTGTTTCCCTAAATACCATGATTTCATTTTTTCTCACAGGATGTTGAAATGTGGATCTTCTTTGTTTAATTTTTTTTCCCAAAACATAAATCCCTTTTTCATAAAACAACTGATGCTCACTGTCTGGAGAATCCACAGTCGCCTCGAGTGTACAATGGCAAGGTACTGAAATAAACACACATAAAATATTTCACGGCTTCGGCAACATAGATTTCCTTCCTGTCGTGCAAATAAAGCTTGTTTGAATTTTAACTTGTGGGAAGGAGGAGATGATGGAGAAGAAAAATAGAGATAAACAGAAGGAGAGACAATAGAGGGGTGTAGAGGGAGAGAGGAGCAGTGGAGGAGGGACTCAGGGAGGGGAAGAGGCACAGGAGGACACAAAGAAGTGAAAGGAATGGAGGAGAGAGAAAAGATGGAAAAATAGGGTGAGGAGAGAACGATAGAGGGAAGGAAGGAGAGAACACAGGGGTGTAGAGAAAGCGAGAGAAAGGGAAGGCAGGCGGAGAGATTGAAAGCGACAGAAAAAAGTGAATAATCACTCCCTCTCTCCTTTCATCTGCAGGCTTAAAGGCTTAATCTGCCTCCTGTGGATGTGTGTGCTCGCCTGTGTGTGTCTGTTTACATTAGCGAGTCACACTGATGCTGTTGTTCCAAAATGAGCCACCAGATGGCAGCAGGCACTCACAGTTCAACACAGTTCTGGAGCTGACATGCAACTTAAGTATAATTTTGCATAGTATGTAAATGAAAGTGTGCGTGTTTGTGTGTGTGCAAAGTTTTCTTTCATTCCAAATGTAAGAAATTGCATATACACACACGTAAATTGATTTAACAACCATCTAATCTAGGAAGAATTCACTGTCATTGTTGAGTTAACTCAATAGGGCAGATTTTGAACTGAGCTTTTCAAACTAAAGGCTGGCATGTAAAGACTGCTCAGGGTTGATGGGAGCTGATTACGCTACCATTCATTCGTTAACGCTCAACAGTCTTTGAATGCGTTTTAGCTAAATTATCTAAAAGAAATTACCAGGTGGAATCATAGGAGCTCCATAATATGTTTGATATACTCGTTCTCATTCAGCCGGCAGTTTGGTGGTTAAAAACAAGGAGTGTGTTTAGTTGGAGGTATGAGATTGTCAACATACTTTTAAATAGCAGTTAAGAGTAAAATATAAGACTATATTTGAAATCAGTGAATGCAAAAAGTATAAAAAAGTGTGCTCACCAGAATATAGTAGGTGTCTGTAAAAATGTAAATAAACCAGCACAGTACAATAAAAATTGAATGTAAGGTCAATATCATCTTAAACATGTTTTTTAAGACAATTTCAGACTCGTTTTGTCGGTACTTCCTTCAGCTCTTTAGTTGTCAGTTACCCTGCATGCACAGATTTCTTGGAAGTTGTCTACAAACGCATCTCAATGTCCAATGTGATAAGTGTCTGTAATGCTGGCTGCGCTGTAGACAGTGTGACACTGTGTCGAACAGAGATAAACCAAACTGTCTGCCAGACAGTTATCATAGCTGCTTCATCATTTCCTCTGTAACAAAGATGGACTCTGCGCGGCATCATCGCCACACTGACTTCAAACCTGATGTTTCTGCTCTGCCAAGCTGAAAGCAACAATGGTGAGTAGTGTGAAAGAGGGTTAGGGCTGAACATTTGAAGATAGTATGATGATAAAGTATTTTACAACAAAAGATGGCCATGGTCGGTTATTTTGGGTCAGTACTCTGTATGTTTGAATTGGTCCATTCAGCTATCCCTGCAAAAAAAAACACAGAAATATTCAGGTTTTTTATTTGATGTTTTAAGGGCATAAATGCTTCTGAAAGTTTTATATCAACACTGGATGCTACAGTCCATATTGAAAGGTTGTTTTGGGGAGAGTGGGAGATCAGATTTTAAGACATCTGAGAAAAATCATCCTAAAAAAGGATAAAAACCATAGTTTGTACTTGTGAAAATATGGGAACATTATTTAATATCAGAATGACATGAAAGTAAGAATGGCCTATTTCTAACAAACCACCTTCTTAACTGACTGATACCTTCACTACCTTGTTCTAACGTCTATGAAATTTGTTCAGTATGTGAGTTATGATCCTGAATCTGGCCTCTAAAAAATACGAGTTCAAGCCATCTTTGAGTGAGATGATGTAAACAAGGCCACTGCCTGCTGTTCCATAGTCAATGAGCTGTTTGTCAGCTAGCCATGTAGTTAGATTAGCTGTCCCAGACAGTGGAGCCAACAGTGAAACAAATGGAGCTGAGACAGATGCGAGCTTTCGGTGCCATCCTTCACTGTCAGCTCAGCCCGATTTAACATCCACAGCTTTAGCACCGTAGGTCTCACAACATATAGGATGCTGTGTGTGCCAGCTCCCTGGGTGAAAGACACTTACTGAGGGAGAGGAGAGGACTACTGACACAGCTCATGTGAAATCTGGATCACAAAACACCTTTGTGGTGTTAAAGTTACTTAAAATATATAAAGTGAGTTTTATTTGCAGGATTTGTTTTAAAATTTTGTATATATATGTATATTCTCCACCAGCTAATACTACATGTTGCAACAGTCAGTATTCAGAGATTCATTTTTATTATCAAGAGTTATGATTTTTCATTTATGGGAAACCTGGAAACCTGTTTTCTCACAACCTGTCTAGTCTTTATGTACTTTGACTAGTGATTTCCCTTCAGAAAAAAAGCATGAAGTTACTGCATTCAGCCAATTGATTATACATGTGGAGAAAATAATAGAAAAGAGACAAGACATCCAATCATTCTATTAGAGAAAAGGTGCTTGTTTCTCAGTCTGTTGCATATAAAGAAGTCTGGCGAATTGAGGCAGCTGTCAGTATCTACCTCCACAGCGTGATTGTTGAATGAAAAATGACACATTAAAACAAGCCAGTGACATTTGACTCTCAGCTTAAATTGTTCTTTAATTATTCGTTAGGTAGAGACTCACCTTCTCTGGTTTGGGTGCGAGGGCTCCCTGGGTGGGGGCATGGGAGGGGCCCGGCGATGGTGGCTGCAGTGGACTGGCTGGCTCGCCGTTGAGGAGCACTGCTGACACGTTAGGAGGTGTGAGACACGAGAGAGGGGATGAGAGCGGCAGAAGGGGCCGTGAGGCGGGAGAAGAGAGGGGTGAGGGCCCTAAGCTGGGTCCCGGAGACACCATGGAGAGCGGACGACCTGACTGGCTGTGGCAACGTGAGGGGGAGGAGCTCTGAGGACGCAGGGGAGAGATGGCCACCGTGGGGCGCTCCGGGCTTCCAGCAGGAGGACTGTGGACTGAAACAGACACAGATACACATGGATTGGTATAAAGCAGAATATCATGACAACATTTTGGGAGTTTGAGTTAATGATCCTCTTACTTAATATCTGGTTTTAAAATGATTTGTGTAATAGATCTGTCTGTATGTACTCGTATGTTCAGTAAATAAAGTATTTGCATTATTATAAAACCAAATACACAAAGTTCCACTTCTGCAAAATATTCCCACACTACCGGAATGTTTTGTGCCAACTTTAGATCAGAAGAATTACAAATATAAATGTCCATCGTTATAAAATGGGTAAAGCTAAAAGCTAGTTAACATACTGTTACACTCAATAGTGTCATCATATAGTAATGTCAGGGGTGGAGGAGCTTATCCCAGCAAACAAAATTAACTTTGGTTGTACATCTTTATTCTGACTGTGTAAATAGGGACATATTTACCAAAAACAGTAGATGCTATTCTATACAGCAATGTAATCTCCATAGGATTTAATGACAACTGCATGGTAGATTAGAGTGTTACCAAGGGTGTTGGTTATCACTTTCAGATGAAGGTGCAGGAAACATTATTTGGCACTAATGAACATCCCACACAGAGTTACTATGTGTAATTTCCATGAAATGTGACTTTTTTTTAAAACATCAGTAAAAGGTTTTTCTTCATCTTAATTAGGAAATGGGAACTGCACCACATTTTTAATACTGTGCCACATTCACTTGGCAGCTGTATGGAAATATAGTATGACTAATCTAAGTTTAACTTGAGGCCCTAACTCTGCAGCCAGCCCCTTGTAGAAATAAAACCTGGCTGAGATGTTTAGAGCACTTTTTTTCAGCCTTCAATTTGTATGAGGACATTTGGTGCTCATGAGGATAGAAGTACACAAAAATACACACTCATAAGCATACAGGCATGCGCATGCACACACATGCACATACACACACACACAGGGTTGCTAGCCACCTGCTCTTCTACACTGCAGTACTGAGGCAGAAGTCCATAGAGAGGCGCACTGGTCATGTGATAAAACCACTAAACGCCAGAACTATGCACATACTTTATTTTGTAATGGAGACCAGATGTGTGTATGTGTGAGTTTGTGTGTTTGTGTGTGTGTCAGAGAGAGAGAGAGAGAGAGAGAGAGAGAGAGACAGAGAGAGAACAGGGAAGAGGTGAAGAGAGAGAAAGAGAGAGAGAGAGAGAGAGAGAGAGAGAGAGAGAGAGAGAGAGAGAGAGAGAGGGAGAGGCATGAAGCTCTGTCATTACGCCTCCATAAAACAAAAAGCACAGTGATGTCATTCAGCTGTGTGTTTGTGAGTCTGTGTGTTCATTTGTACGTGGGAGTACACGTCTGTATGTGTGTAGCTGTATGTGTGCATGTGTGTGTGTTATTCTTGGCAGTGTTCTCACAGTGTGTACTCTTCAGCCTCCAAAAGAAACCTTCACCATTATTTTCTCAGGGAGACAGAACAGATACAAAGAGGAGGAGAGAACGGGGGACTGGAGAGATGAATAGACTCTGAGTGGAGAGCAAGGCTGATATGATCTAGACCTTGTACAGACACAGGTGTGTGGCTGTTTCTGATGGTTGTGTGTGACTGACCAATGGAAAAACATTGGCAGTGAACATCGTGCAGACACACACAATATAACCACCCTCCTATATACAGAATGTTGTAGGAAAAGAGAACATTTATGTGTGCAGTATTTCATTCACCACAACACATATTTTTTCAATGTTCACAGCATGATGGCTCAACGTCACCTCACAGCAAGAATCCACCAGCCGTCTGGGCTCTTTATGTAGGGAGTTTTCATCTTCTTTCTCTATTTTCCCAACAGACGTCCTCGTGGCTTCGGGATTTAAGACGCTGACCATGTAATTGCAATGTCCCTGCTTCTAGTGCGGTCCAGTGTGGACCTTTGTTGCATGTGATCTGTCATCTTTCTCCCTTCATTTCCTATCACCTCGCTGCATAACCCTATTACGCTCATGGTTTTGGAATGAAATGTTCAACTTCCGCATATGATTGTAATGCTCAGATGTCCACATACCTTTGGCCATGTAGTGTACGTGAACACCACTAACTGGACTTTTTATTTTTTGGTCCAAAATGGCTTTTTTGGGTTTTTTTTTTTTTTTTTTAACACATGACTAACAGCATTGAGGAAACTGGAAGTAAAAGAGGCTAAAATCTTAACATGGTGTAGAGGCTACTTGAATTAATGACTGATCAATATTCTATTATTCTGTAATCAGAGACTAAGGGCCTAAAATGCTGCAACGTCCCAAACGATCTGGACTCTGCTCCTTTAAGCCTTTAGGCTGGTGAGCCGTTGCAGGGGATGATGTTGCAGAACATGAAGTTGGAAAAATACCAGAGACAGAGACATCTCCATGTCATAAATACTTTCTCTTAACTCGCTTTACATTTCTCTGGAGGGCTGTAACAAGATTCACCTCTCCTTTCACAGCAGGCTGTTTGTCATTCACATGAGTACCTCAGTTTTTGAAGTTCTCATTTCTGTCTTTCTTGAGTGCCACCACAAGTGTGTACATGTGAGTGTGTGTGTGTGTGTGCGCTCTTGCTTACCGAGCTGCATTGAGGTGCGTGCCTGGTTAACCGTGTGTTGGCTGGAGCGCAGGCAGTTCTTCAGTTGGGCGGCGGCAGTTTGCGGCGAGGAGGCGGGACTAATGGTGTTAATGGAGTTGGCTGAGTTTACCAGTGGAGTGGAGGGACGGGACGAAGAGGGCCCCGGGGACGCTGGAGACGACAGGTCAGAGATTTTACTCCCCACCTGACTGCATCCACTTCCCCCACCTCCTCCTCCTCCACTTCCACCTACTGGACTGGACAGACACGAGCCACGAGTAGCACCCACTCCAAATGGAGCCCTTTGAAGAAGAGACAGAGGAGACAGATATTGACTTGCCATTGAAAATTCCAAATAATCATAGATGATGTTTATTGAATTCTGCCATTGTCAACTCTACTCCTTTCAAACCAGCAAATGCATGTGAAAACTAAGCTAGTTACAAGGCCCCATGGATGGACATGTTTGTCATTTGGTCGGTCCACCACATTGATCCAGACTGAAGTATGTCAACACCAATCAGATGGACTGCCAGGAGAAGATACCCATGGTGCCCAGAGGATGAATCCTCCTGACAGGACGTGATGCCCCGACTTTTCCTCTACCACCACCATGAGGTAGAGACTTTTTGGTTTAAAGTGAAATCTATCAACAACAGCCATGACAATATCATTAAGTTCAAAGCACCAGTAAGCTGAAGTAGAGCCTCGCAAAGCCGCTAACATGAGTGCAGTCTCTTGTTTAGAACAAAATGTTAATAGCCAGTAGATAGTCCATAACAGCAGAGCGGGGACTGCCAACGGTACTATTATCCCTGTTCAAAGTGAGTGATTTCAGTGCTATTATCTGACTGGTGGATCAGCACAACACAGTGTCCTGCTGTAACATGTACGGAGCCTCAAGCTGCTCATGTTTCTGTCTGCAGAGTGCTGAATGGCAGAACAGTGAACTGAACATTATTGACGCAGCGGTATTCACACTCTTATGGCTGCCCATCGACTTCCCGTCACACACATACCGAGTTATGGCTTTCTCTGTATGTGTGTCTGTGTGTGTTTGTGTGTGTTTCCACCAACAGGCACAGCATAGATATTCACAGGTTCTTTGATTTGAGATTCTCTATGGCCAGTGCACATGTACTCTACTTTTAACTGCTTATTGTGTGTGTTGGGTATTACACATTTGTTAAGGCCTATACAGATATTCTTGGCTGCTATCAGGAACTTTTAAGACTTCATACAATTACACTACAGCTGTTTTCTTTCTTGAGTGGGCAGTCCTCTGAAGCAGCCTTCATGCCATCATGACATGTTAAACATCTGTTCAAAATAATCCAAATGCATTCATGAATTTTTATATAGAAACTGGTCAAATTCTTGTTTTTTAGTATAAACCACACTGCATTTTAAAGGAATGACATGCCAATATTAGCAGCCAGTCTGTATTGTGTGTGTTTGTGTGTGTTTGTTTGTGTATGTGTGTGTGTGTGTGTGTGTGCTGGCAGGCCTCAATTATATATTGAGAATTTCTGAGCTGCCTGCAAGAACAAATGAGGGGGAGAGGTAAGGAGGGGGGGGGGGTGGAGGAAGAAGGAGAGAGTATGCATGTGTAAAAATAACAAATTGCCTCTCATTTGATTACTCGCCCATCCTGCCTTTCTCTCTCTCCCTCTCTTAGATTGCATAACTGCAGAATGAGAAGCAGCCATTCATATCCAGAGGAGAGGGACACCTGCTGTTTTTGCAGCCGTTTCATCTCTTTGTATCATTTTCTCTCTCTCTTTTGCTTTTGCTTTTTCTTTCTCCTTCTTTCTCCTCCTCGGTTTGTCATTTTCTCTTTCAACTCTCTTCTATTTCAATTTCTCCCAGCCCTTTTACCTTATTCACCTTTTTCTTTCTCCACCCCATTCAGTCTTTTACCCTTTCCCTCCTCTCCTCTCGTTTTCTTTTTTTATTACTCTCTCACCCTTCGGCTGAGTATCCTTCAGTACCATATCTTTTCTCTTCATCTCCTCATTATCTTTCTTTACCTCATTTTTGCCTTTTCTCTTTTCTTTCTATCTGTTATCCTAAATCTCCTTTGCTTTCATTTTCTTTAACTGCATCAAGGAGCAGAATACAGATTAGATGAACAGCCACTGCAAATATTTTCATGCATACAAGAATAACGAGGGTAATTAAATTGCCAAATATGATTTCAGCACTCTCATTTTTCTGTTTTATTTGCTTTTAACAGCTATGAGTATCAGGATGCCAAAAGTAACAATGATGTGATGATGATCTACACTATGTGGTAGCCAAGCATTAGAAAGGCAGAGCCAGTATCAGCTGACTGCTGTTTTGTATTTTACATGGTATTTAAACCAAGTTTGTATTCAAATCAAATTCACACTCCCTTATAAAAGAAATGATTTTCCTTGTTCCACTTTGAATTAGTCAGCGAGGATACATTTAAAAATCATCTTTGCGATATTTAAATCCCCCGCAAAGCAAATTTTCCAGGAGGAAAAATAATAAAATTGGTTTAAACTGGGCTTTAAACATTTTTATATTCCATTGCATAAAAAGTGTTTTTTTCTCTTGTGCTCATTCACAGCAGCTTACAGCCCCCCCTGGTAAGGACTTTTCAGAATATGTTTCTGGTGCATTTGCTAGTGTGACCAAATAATTTTGGTAGTTTTGGTGGCCAGAGGATGTAAGTATAATCCTGACAAAGTGTGGGCACAATATAGAGGCTGAAGCAGGAAGAATTCATTATCACCACAAGGAATACAGCACCCGCAGATTGCACCTCAGCTGACTAAAGTCCCAATAATTGTTTTTAGGGTATGCGTCTGTGACAAGAGGCAGCCTGAGCACACAGAAAACACATGTGCAATTACATGCCATAACAAGAACCTAAATTGCACTGCTCAGCCTGAGCTGGATTCGCTTTTGCTGGAACCAGGAAATTACCATGAAAAATTACAATGACTGTGTTAGCGCTATCATCGCCTTTGTGTGAGGACAAAATTAGGGGCCTTTGTCTGATTGTACTGCATTTTTGGGATCACATGACCGAACCAAATACTAAACTGAGCAATAAATGGAGTAGAGGTTTGAACAGGACATGTGGCTGTAGGGATTTAACTTGGGTTCCCTGTGCTCATACTGTGGTCTCTCTAGCAATTCAGTCCCTTTTTCATCTTGGGCAAAGGAAGAGGTACTTCAAGCTTCATCACCAACTGCACACCCCTAATACGACTGCCACTTGCTTTTATCTGGATGTGGGGATGACATAATCCCTTGGGAGGGTGCATCACCACAACGCCCTTCACTCTTCTCATCCCCAAGCCTGAACTCACTAACCTGGACACAGGGGTGACGTAGTTTCCTGGGAAGACACCGGAGGCAGCGGTTCTCAGTGAGGTGCCTTTGAACCATCCGTCTTGACACTTCTCTGTCACCCGATACATCTCCCCTTTCCTAAGTTCAAGCTCGTCAGCCTTCTGGGGCTTGTAGGCGTATAGAGCCAGATATCTGGGGAACAAAAGCAACAGAAAAGTGTTAAAGTGAGTCAAATACTAAAAAAATTACCAACTTTTGGGCAAATTGGTGGTTTACCAATTATATCCCATTGGGCTTCTTCTTGGAAGCATGCATGTGGATTACTCCTGATCTACTGTACTATCACCAATGCAGAAATAAGTAAACATTACCAAAATATAAGGGTCTGAGCACCAAGCTATCTTTCAAAGTTTTTTCTCACATTTTATTTTTAGTTGACTAACTGTACAGCGCAGAAGATCAAAGAATAACAACCAGCAAACTGTTGATTCTCCACCAACTCCTTCATTAGACCTTTAGACAACATATAGATCTAATCAATCAGTAAGTGGACTCCAGTAGCATCTAAAATCTACTTCCACTATTTAAGCAGTAACAACAAAATTTCAGATGGGTTTTTTCATTAAGTGAGACTACCAGTTATGATGAGCTTATTTGCATACATTGTTATTGAGAATAAGCCAACAACATCAACAGCATAACTTAATGCACTTAAACACTTTAGTTATAGAACTCATAGTAGCAGTTACAATTCTCTTAGACAAAAAAATTAAGCGCATGACATTTTTATTGGTCTTTATTTTACCAGGCAAGTTATCTGAGAATACTTTCTCTTTTATATCATGATCTGTTATGAGTGAAGAAGAATGATGCCTTTGGCTATTTTTAAGTGTTGGTCTCCTTTAATATGTTCTGTCCAATGAACAATATTGTTCATATCTCAACTGACCAATTTCCAAAAAAAAAAAAACAATAATAATTATAAGAAGAAGAATAACAATTTATAAGATAAATGGTACAGCAAACCTACCATTACAAAAATCACATAATCACACACATAATCAGAATCAGAAAAAGGTTGGCTCACATAAAACCCGAGTAGCATTAATGTTTTAATGATGCAGTGTAGCTTGCGATTTTTTAAAACATTTTTAAAATTAAATTCTTAAGGAGAGTTAAAGTTATTTCTCTCTGAGGCAGTAATGTGATTTTCCTTCCCAAACAGTCTGGTATGCCGTGAATGGGTGCCTAATCAATATGTCCTTGTAAACCTGCCTACAAACTGGTACATGGATAAATCTAGTATTTGCTTTACAAATATTTATTTACTTACTTAATAACTATGTCTATGTATTCAGTGTTGTGTATTGCATCTGTGTTAACATATAAATGAGTTTCCGGTTCTGTCGCTGGGAGACATTCATAGTATGTAGTGCCAGACTCCAACAGAAGACGATAAGACCACAGAGTAAACAAGCCCTATGTGTGCTGCCTCCCCCGTTGTCATGGTAACAGATGTGGGGACCGTCTCCCGTCTCCCCATGGCAACAGGAATAGTTGCCAGGTCAAGATGGAAACGTCCGACCTCATCAGTAGGACAAACCCGCTCCGGACGTACGCGTGTGTGTGTGTGTGTGTGTGTGTTTTTTGTATGTGTTTGTTTGTGTGTGTGTGTGGGTGTGTGCATATCTGTGTGTGTTTGTGCCTACAGCGCTACTTTAATAAGACCACAGATTTTATTAAATCTGACACAGTTGCTGTATTTGACTCACATCCTGCAGGTGGGACACCAGTTAATAGTGAACAGCATATACACACATTTGTACTTCCTCATTGGCAGGATTCCCCTTGCCTAATCCATAAACTTAATTCTAACCTTGGAAGAAAGAAGGACTGAGCAAATGTCCTCACTTTCCACAAATACCAAAAAATATCTACACTCTTAAGGTAGAAGAGAAGTACAAGGTCAGAAGCACACACTCACTTTGAAGATACCCGCATCTTTCTGGCAGTTACCTGGTAGATTAATTACAAGGTAAATTATAGAACAGTCTTGCTCAGCGTTGGCACCTCACCAGCCATCTGGATATGACTAGTGAGGTTACATTTCCACAAGACTTTAATTGTGCTTGTGAGAGTGTGTCAGGTAGATTAATCCGTTCAAGAAATTATCAGCCAGTGTGAAGTTTGTGAAATCAGTAGCAAAGCCCCCAACTGTAGCCTATGCAACATTACTTTGTTTCTCCTGTGTGTGCATACCAAGTGTGTAGTGACTGAAGTAAATTTAAAAAATCTAGCACATTTTTAAAGAGATATTTTAGCTTGGTGCCCGAATTCCTAGTGGAACTTAAAAGGGTTTAAGATGCTGACCATGTAACTGAAACATCTTTGATTTAAGTTTTTTTTTGCACCTCTCTCTCCTTTTTTCTCCATCAGCTGTTACTGTCCACCATCAAAAAAAAGCAATTAATAAAAGTGAATGTAGTAAAGTTCTGTAGATTGCATTTGAATAATCTTCATAATGTAGCTGTAATTGTCAAATGTGTAACTGCCCAAATGTTCCTCTAATGTCCAGATGAATTTGGATGTGTGACCTCTGGAAAGCTGTTAGTAAAGACTACACGTCTCACTGTTCGTTGTTCATTTTTGAATAAAATAGTAACAACAGTATGTGATCAACTTTGTCTCCCAATGCTCATCTCTATGTAGGCACATCACATGCAGTAAAATGCATAGTATGGCTGTACTGTTGAAAGCCTTGTTATGAAACACTGATGTAAGCATCACACAACTGTGTGTGACTGTATTTTTCCTGTCTGAGGGGGATTTCATCCTTGACCAGTGGAGGAGTAAATGTGGTTGCAGAGGGTGGTGGAACACAGCCAATATCTCTGGGCACAAAAGTGGAAATATTTTTAACGCGGCTGGGAGGCAGGTTCTGAAATCATGCCATTGCATCTCAGGCACATATCAACGTTGTTCATAAAACACATAATGGGTGGGTGCGAGGAAGGACAAAAAACCCAGGTCGCAGGTGTGTTGAGCTGACAGCACCGTGAGGTGTACTCACATGTTGAGTGGCAGCTGCACCTTGGCATGGGCCAGCAGCTCAGAGGTTATGGATGCCACTTTGGGGGGCACCAGTACCCCTGCCGAGGAGGGAGAGGGACCTGGGGGAGATGCATCCTAAAGACACACAGATACATACAAACTGAGTAGTTTCCATTTAAAATAAATTATGTTTTGCAATATGTGCCTGCAGCCTTTCCAGCTTTTCAGTATGCATCTTGGGTATTATTCAGAGATGGAAAAAACACAATGAACCCAGGTGTAAATGCAACCAAAGGCAATACATGTAAAAGCAATGTGTCTCCATTTGACAGCTATTAAACAGAAGAATGATTTTACACTCATGGAACTGTCAGAGTAGGTGACTGGGGAGTAAGTTCATAACATAGAGAGGAAAAGAGTGACCAAAGTCAAATCTGGTTTACAAAATGTTCATGCATGTTTACCGTGTATGCTTAGAGCCCGACTAAGAAATCAACTACATAAAATGAAATTCAGTGCATTTACTCATGTGCTACACTTAAGTACAGCTCAGAGATACTTGTCCCACACATCTAGGTTTGATCAGCTTATAATATATAAAATAAAACCATCAAAATGAACCTAGTCTCATCAGCTAATATTTACATTTCTATATTTCTATGAATATTTCTAGACTGAGGTGACCTGAATACCACCACCACATATTACAATTCCAGTGTGTGTGTGTATGTGTGTGTACCTGGATGCGTGCAGCAGCCCTGGGGTCAGAGGAACTGATGAGCACTGGGTGTGAGATCTCCATGCTGTGTCTGTTGTTGAGCTGGGCGGCTCTCTGGCTGACGGATAGTGCCGTAAACGAATGCCGCTTCTTGGCGTTTTTCTTTCCTTCACCTCTCCGATGACCAGAGCCGTTACCATTTGACGGGGAAGCGCTGGGGGAGGGGCCAGGAGAGCAGGGGCCCAACGGGGCTGGCTCAGAACTTGGACCTGGAACGTTAGTTGGCGTAGGTTTGTCTATCTCCATTAGCTGCTTGGCTGTTTCATTTAACTGAGAGGAGAGGAGAGGAGAGGAGAGGAGAGGAGAGGAGAGGAGAGGAGAGGAGGAGGAGGGAAAGACAAGAGAAGTAGTTCAGGCGTTAGATTTCAGTCCTCAGTGGTTCACATACAAGATCATAACAAGTGTGTTTGTGTGGCCTTTCGTCTCTTGTTCTTGTTGGCAGCTTTTCAAACTAGGAGCATAACAATCATCACAACAGCTGGTCTAGTGAGACTCCCTCTGTGTAACACACACTCTCACTGTCTCTCTTTGTCAAACACACAGATACTTGAATAACCCACCGAAAGGTGAGCATCCCTTTTGCTTTCCAGGGTTTTTCTCTCTCTCCTCACTTTGGCTTCATTTCAGTTCATTCTTGGGTAAAAATCTGAGAAATTCCAAGTCACTATTTTAAGATAAACATTTATTTTTTTTACATCAGGACAGAACAGTGTTTGATGGAAATGCTGGTTTAAGACTGAAAGGATGACAGTAATTTGCTCACTTTTGAATCAGTTCCTCCAACTACTTTGTGCCAAATTTACCCATCAAAAGTCTAATTTCTCACCGTTGACTGATAATGCCAAATAATAGACACACCTTATTTCGGTTCTTATAAATCCCATGTTGCTTTTAAGGAATGCTACAGCAAACAAAAGGCCCATTTTAACCACACAAGCACAACAACAGGTGCTAAGTGGTAGATCTTGGGCACATGGACAGTGTGGGCGCCTCCAAGTGCACCTGCTATTTCAGTTCATGTAGGTGGAGCAGCACAAAGTGCAGAAGGGTTGGCTGGGATGGAATATAAATCGGAGGGTACGGTGATTAATACATTCATTCTCAGCCAGTCACGTTACTGCTTTAATCGCTCTGAAAATAGCTGTGCCAATCACGGTGACGCATGATGACAACAGCTCGACAAACGGAGAGTGTCTTCTTCAGAAAATGATATTGTTGTCTGCAAGGTGCAGAGCGGCATGATCTGAACGCGCAGCACCTCCTTATTTTTATTTTTACTGCGTCTCATAACATGACACATGATGTGTGACACAACAGCCAACCACATACCATTTCGACAGTAAAACACGAAATGCTTCTTTTGAAAGTTGGAAAGGAGACAACGACCCAGGTGAGCTGCTGTAATCTGACATCTCCCACTTAAACAGAACAGAGTCATAACAGACCAGTCTGCGGTGTGTGGTATTGTATGGGGTTACTTTGTAACAGCCTGCTGACTTTTGAACATGATTTACTAAAAGGTAAACACAGTGGACAGCCGTGTGCGTAATAAGCACTGTGCTCTGGCCACACTTGTCAAATCAGTTGGTACAGATTTATCAACATATGTGTCAGATGGCTGCAGGGATTTACTGAACCGGAGGAGAAGCTTTTCACATACAGTATAGAGCAGCTGCGGACAACAGATAATCACTCACTCATATTCATTTATAGATAAATACAGACTGAGTTACGGACGTTCCTGCTTTAAACAAAATTACATTCATATCTTTATGCCCATTTAAACACTTCTACTGGCTGTGGAGTGAGCGGTTAAAATGGTTCATTTACATTTTCCTGCATTATTCCATCGTTGCTGTGTGTTTGCACCAAGTATTTAGTTTGCTCTTGTTGATCACAATCACACAGGTGGCAGCAGATGGACGTTGCGCCAGACACAGACGTGGTTCTGAGACGTCTTTTCTCAGCGCAAAGTCTAAGACACATTTTCCACCAAAATGCCAACAACTTGCTTTGCTCTGCTTGATCTGAATGAACCTCCCAACTGTTCGCACCTCTCCTCCCACCTGTGCACCGCGCACTCTGTGCTTGGCACCAAAATACCAGTGTGCTCGCACTGGTTGTTGTGCTGCCATGAGAAAATACAGCCATGAATGTTTAACCTTTGCACGTTCATGTTGTTGATTGCAATGTTTCAGACTGAAGTCACTGTAAGCTCAGTATATAGGTGGACTTCCGAGGACGGTATCTTGAGATCTAGAATTTAAGAGTGAGAGCTTATGGATAGAGCAACATGATGAGGATTTGTGCAATAAACTGCACAATCTACAGAAGTAATTGGTGGGTGACTTGAAGATCTGCCATCATACCCTTTCTAACAAGGACCACAAAAGAAATAAGCTTTTAGCTTTATTCTGTTTTAATCCTCAACAGCTTTAATTACATGTCAGGGCTGTAGTCTTCTGTTTACCTTTAGTATTACTAAACATTCCTTCCAGCACAGAGTACGTAACTAGCTGTGTGTATCTAATGGTCTTTTTTCAACAGATATTTATTTGTGTGTTCATGTTCATTAGTGTTGTGTATCTCATGCTGTGAGGGGGTTAAGCTCAGCGACAGTTTGTATCCAGCTTGTTCAGATTTGCTAAATTCAAATTAAGTCATGCTAAAATACATTTTCAAAAAACTTCTTGAGTATCTTAAATTATGTATTATGTTTGAAACAGACATCACATGCAAATATAAAACATTTTTTAATAGAAATCTTTAGTCATGTATACTATAGGCACACTACATGGACACCTGAGGGAAAGCTATTACATTTGTGAGATATCCTGGGTCATGAAGCTTGGTCTTTAAAAACAGGCCTGCGCGCGCGCGCGCGCACACACACACACACACACACACACACACACAGAGAGGCCAGTATTTAACAGGGACACATGAACTAATACAATGACAGACAACATCAGCTTCAGCCCTCCAACAAATTTACATCGCAATCATGTCTGCTTAACGTGACCTCAAACTCCTGAACAATCCCTGGAGAGAAAGTCAAGCGTTTCTGTCTCTCTCCATGTGTGTGCGTGTGTGTGAGAGAGAGCGTACAGGACTGACCTGTCTCAGCTCAGTGTTGGTGATGTTGCATTTCCATATTAATAGATATGCTAATCAAATCCAAATCATATGCTAATGAGCTTGATGGATTGATGCTGCAGATATAACTCAGTTTGCTCTCATGAGGCAGAATAGAGGACACAAACACACGCACACACACACACACACACACACACACACACACACACACACACACACACACACACACACACACACACACACACACACAAAAGGAAAGTCAGGCAACACACTTGTGCACTCAAAAACTTAACTCCAGTAACTTTTACCCGTATGTGCCTCCACATACCAACATACAGTACATAGTTGCCCGTCACACACAAACAGTCACACTCACACTGCTGTGTCACTTTCTCTTTAACTACCAATGCTTCAGTGCCCGGTCATGCTGCAGTAAAGGAGATAAGGGAGAGGGAGAGAGAGAGAGAGAGATGTTGTTGATAGAGACAATTCTTCTTTCGGAGCTTTTGGCCGAATGAAATCTCCAAGGTCATCTATTATGTGTTGAGCTAACTGTACTCTGTGTACTCTACGTCTTTTGGAGGGTGAGTGCTCTCCAGGTAATACTGAGGCTCGAGCTGATGAGCTGATTTCTGCACTGCGAAAAGGGTCAGCCAGCAAGATACATGCATGCCTATGCACACAGCCATACACACACATACCCAGTGGCAGGTGTGTGCCTACTCCCTTCTGCTGCAGAGGCCGTGGAACAGATAAAGTGAGTGAGAAAGAAAGATAGAAAGATAGAAAGTGGGAAAGACAGTGGTGTACTTATTGTTATAATGTGTGACCCAAACTCATACCAAACCTGTCAATTACAAAACAAACCTAAACAAGTCTGTCCCAAACTAATCACCTGTTTACATGAATCAACCTCACTTATGCCAAACATCCACACTCAACTCAAACTCACCTACACTGACCTCACATCCTCCTGAACCCACACTGGATTTTACAACAGCGATCCTAAACTTATACAACACAATCCAACCCACTCAGCACACCCACTCAAAGTCAAGTTTGATACATGTGTATGTCAAAACAACATAAATCCACTCGTGTAAAGGGTTGAAATGTGCATTAAAATGAGGTACCTCTATAAATTTTTATTTTCATTCCTAGATTATCCTAGCAGAGGCCAGTAACATTTGCATATAAATATCAACGCTGTGTTTACTTTCTTCACCTACAAAGACGAAAATGAAGAGACTGCATCAATCAAAGCTCAGCTTTGACTAGGGAAGAGATATGGGGCAAGATGAGACAGAGAGAAAAACAAAGAGAGAAGGTGACGGAGATGAGAGAGGAAGAGCAGGTACTGCCCACTGTGCCCAGGATAGGATTAGCATCATGTCTCTGTGCTTTTCAATACAAACAAAAACTAACTGACCTGATCACATTAAAACAATGTAGGAATTATTACCAAAGAGACATATGTTCTATTAAGTGGCGCCTATAGACGTACTGTAACAACAACACAAGGCAACACGTTTTTATAATTCAAGTCCAAAATGATACAACTCAAACACAAAGATGAAATAAAGTAAGTGTTGTCTTCTGTATTTACAGATTGTAGTGTGGATCATTCATTGCCACATTTAAAGGTTCTGTAAAAGAGATTTTAAACAATAATATAGCAGCAAACAACTATTTCCTACTATTTTGTAGAACAATGTTTTTACCTAAAAAGAAACAGATAAGACCAGAGCACAAGCGGACTGCCCGTGGGGACAAGCGGTTCAAAACACCGTCATCAAACATCCATCAGTGTCATTTGTATGGCCCGTCCCATCAGGTAAGTCCAAGGCTGAATTTCTGGTTACAGTAGGCATTATAATGTTAGCTGACTTGCTGTTACCGATATTATGAATTTGTTTGGCAAATGTTGCTAATGCTAGCTAGCTTACTGCCTGCATTGCTGTGGAACATATCACAGCAGTGTTAGCATGGGCTAATGGTTGTGGCTAGATCGTTTTTTCTTGGCTCTCATGTGCACAGCATAACTTTATTCAGTTGTACTTCTTGTTGTGTGTTTCGTTGATGAGGCTGGATTGTTTAAAGAACCTTTAACCTCATGTATTACAGCTTCACAGATAATATATGTTGCTGCCCACTGACATGGTTTTAAAGCTATTTTTATCCATTTTTTCCTTCCAAATGTCTTAAAATGCATATATGTAGATCAGGGCCTCAAAAACCCTCTGGCAAACTCAGTTTTTGGACCTTGGTATTTCTAAAACCCTGCCGACAGCCATAATTTCAGTCACAGTTCATTATACAATGAGAACAAGAAAGCCATATTACTCTGCCCACTACACTGACCAAGGATAACTATATTACAGTATTTAACTATTTAAAAAAATCAAATAAGACCTCAGTGGAATCATGTTTTATTTGCAGAGTTAAGGTAAATTAGTTTTAAAAAGTACAGCATAGAAGTAGCATAATAAAACTTAAAGGCACAATCTAGAGATATACAAAGCAGATAGCCATAGTATCAAAACTGAAAACTCAGGATTAGTCTCTCACACTGATTGACTGGTCTTAATACATATAGTTATATTAAACAGTAACTTAGTCTAAGTCATTAAACTTTTGATGTTGATGCTGCTGAGGGTTGATTTTCCTGTCAGTAAAACTGATCAAAACACTGAAGACAAATAATCATGTTTCAAAACTTATTACATGAGAAACATTATGTAGAAAACTGTATAATATTGTACATTGCTTATAATGTACAATAAAACAGACTACTTGGTATTACTGTTTCAGTATAAGATGCTGAAAATGACTTTCAGTAACACCTTTATGAGTCCAGCTTGTTTGAAATCCTCAGTAACAAGTAACAAGATGTTGATGATGGACCTGAAGCTGATTCACTCTCTGTAGTTGTTTATCAAACTGAACACAATGGTGCTTTGTTTGTCAGCAAACCAACTATTATAATATTAGCTAACTAGCCAAATTACACACTAATATTAAATCATTCTGATACACTGTGAGCACGCTCTGTTCACGAGAACGATTCTTGATACATTTGGTCTCAATGTCCGCTGCAAAGACAGCAGTATCCTCTTCATATGTAGTGACTGCCAATCACTTCACACACACTCCATATAATTTTGACTTTTTTGATGGCATCCGTATAATCTGCAAACCCCTCATCTCCAATCTGTGTTTTCAGACTGCCAAATATTAACACAAGCTGTCTGCATTCACATCCGAGCTCTGAGACAACAGCCATAAGAGGTACTTCATATCCAGTGAGACACACACACAAATACACACACACATACACAAATACACACACACATACACACAGTTCAGAAGAAGTCCAGCTGGGTCCCCCTCATTAGCTTGTCACTGCACACACACACACACACACACACACATACACTCACGCACGCACGCGCATGCTCCTGCACCCCTGCTGTGTCAGAGTGATGGAGAGGTCTAAATTATTGATGCATCTCTATTTAATAGGAACCCCCGTGTCTGTGTGTTGTGTTTGTGCTGACTTTTCTCATCTTATGGCTTTATCATCATTACCTAAGAGAGCCGTTTGGTCAACCAGTTCACTTCGGGGACATGATTGGATAACCAAGACTCCAAGGCTGGGTTTGCAGCCATATGTAAGCTCCAAACCCAGACAGAGAGAAAGAGTGTAGAGAGGACAGCATGATTCGAGGTAAGCATGATTTTATGTGTACATCCGTATAGATGTGGATATTAACACATGCGTTTTGTTGTATAATTGAGTGTTTGTTCTCCTAATAGCAGATGAAAAGCAATATAATGTTTAAAACCAGCAGGAAGGATGAGTCATCCCATTAGTCTCTCTGTCTCTAGTCTCTACATCAATGAATTTTCTAAGATGCAGTGCATGAATACACAGTTTGTACACTGGATCTGACCTTATGATAGTCTTGTTGTCTTGATAAACACACACAAACAAATGCACAGTGGTACTTCCCAGTGTGGGTGAAGCTCCTGTCTGTTTGAAAGTTTCATCATTTGTTTTTGGTGTCAGGGCCGCAAGAGAATTGGTTTGTTCACAAATTTGTGGTGATGGAGAGAGAAGAGAAGCCTTAACAACAGCAAGAAAGAAGTATTTACACATCATCCTTCCAGTTTCCACCAATGGCTTTTTTTACCATGGCTTAAAAAGCCCTAAATGTGATCCAGAGCAAATTGTGCATGAGGATTAAAGTAAACTATATCCCAGTCTTGACAGGCATAGCGCTATGAAAGAAGGTAAAATGTTTGGGGAGTTGGGGTTTTTTAATCCTTTTACCGAGAGGAAATCCCTTAAAGAAACTTCAGTTACAAACAGCATTGCTATTGCAATTTGCATTTCTGGGGCAATTAAATGTTTATTCCAACAGATCAAATATACAGACGACACCATATAAAAACATAATGTGGGGCCACAGTGGAGTCTAACAAAAATCCCATCATGTTTGACACCAAATAATGAACACGCAGTAAACCTGTGGTTTGCATGAAATTCCAATATCTATGCATGTACCCTCCGTTCATACTAAAATTGGAGAGTGTTCCAACTCCACTTAACCCAGGTCAGTAAGACATTTTTAAAAGCAGGTCAAACAGTGCAGAGAAACCCATTTAGACCAACTTCAAACACAGTCACTGTGTCATCTAAAAGGCCTACAGAGTAAGAGCAGTAGAAGCAGACGTGAAAGGCTGGAAATAGAAAGAAAAGAATGGTGATGAAAACAGTTAATCAAAATCACAAAAAGTGAAGGGCCTTGTTACTATCTAATGATCCAGTCATTGTAACCATGTCCTCTCTTACAGCTTGACCTCAAATTGAGGCTCAAAGTGTCCCTCCTCTCAGCACAGGTGGTTCTTAGGCTGGTGTCAGCAAATAATAAATAATGCAATAGTTACCAATGAAGCTGTTTTCACCATTTATCAAAAAAGTTTTGGTTTATAGCAGGAGTACCTCTGGTAACACCATGTGCATGTAAAACTGACTCAGAATACCATTACGTTCAAATATATTTGAAACCAGTTAGCATTGATTTATTATTTGACTGTATTTTGTTTTTAGAACATGACTTTTTCATTGGTAACTCCTGTGAATGACAAGGAAACCAAACAGGACGGATATCCTACATTTTTGTCACACTTTCAGTGGATATCATCAAAGCTGTGGTAAAGCCTCTACTTATACGAAGAAAACATTTCCCTCGTTTCTCATCAAAGTACACAGGATGTACTTCACCCTAGAAGAAACTAAAGGTTTTCTGTGTCTCCAAATTAGCTGAATGATAAAAGAAAATACTGTAATACAGGTGTTGTCCTGTAACATCACATTTACAGCTCCTTCCGTAATAACTTGATATGTGAGTGTTGTGAGTGTGTGTGTATGTTCGTCTGTGTGTTTACCTCCACATAAAGAATAGGGAAGATACCAATCTTGTCTCCCAGCATGCCCTCTGCCCAGTTCTCGTCCACTCGCCTGATTACTGTCAGTACCTCATCCTGGAGAGAGAGGAAATGATTGAGACCACGCACAAACAAAATGTTTTATTTTGTCTGCCTTTAAAAACAAAGGAACAAATAAATAAATAAATGTAATTCTTACGCATTAACCAGTTTTGGATCAGAACGTGGTCAAAACAGAAAGCATCTTTGAAAGTGCATGTTTGGTGTCCAATAGACTTCTTATGTTCAGATCTCTTCTACATTGGTCAAATTAAATCAGCTCCAGGTAAAACTTTCATCATTCTGATGTGCCTCTGTTCGACTGCCAAACCAAGAAATGATGCCAAGGGTTAAAAAAAAAAAAAAAAAAAAAACCACACTGATGTTGTTTCACGTTGCAGCCCATTAACTCCAACACTTTTCGAAGGCATACAAACATTTTTAGATTAATAGGAAGTTACTGGTTCAGTTCATTTCAGTTGGTTTCATTTCAAATGTTAATCAATTACCAGTTTCTCAGTTCAGTTCATGACAGACATCGCTGCTCATTCTTCCTGTACACAGACCCACTGCGTACTGTTGCATTCAAGGATATTAAGAAGCAGCATCATCTCTTTCGATATTTGTGTCCTTGTTCTGCATAGGTTTGTTGCAGTAGTGTGAAATCTGAGCTAAAACTGGTTTGGTGAAAATCAAACTGTGGAAAAATGAAAGGACTCCTTGCAAAATTTTTATATACTAAGGTGAATATAGAATAATCAGTTTTTTTGCAAAGAGATATTTACTGAGACTCTGTATAGACTTTAGTACGGCAACCCAAAGAAACACTGGCATTGATCAGCTAAGCTATTAGCAATCAGCTGATTTATAATATTAAAAACACACTGTCAAATGTCAGTCATGTCTCCTGGATACAATATCAGTACTGTGTCACCTTGCAAAGTGGGCATATGTTAGGATGTCTATATGCTTACTTATGCCTATACACAGATGATATAATATTCTCTGCAACATTATATCCATCACACATGGGAAAATATTATGACCCTTGTTCTCTCACACACACACACACACACACACACACACACACACACACACACACACACACACACACAGACCTCATCATGAAAGTATTTTTCCCTCTGCTGCTCCTCTCCTCATGTAAATATGAGGGTCTTGGTTAGGCCATTAGGGATGGCAGCGATAATGCTGGTAAATGACTGTGTATTAGTCATACTGAGTAATTACCTCTCACACTGAGAAAACAATATCACGCACACTTGTTCTGCATGACAACATGCATGCAACACAGCACAAGGTTCATGCGTCTCTGTGTGAGAGTATGGCTTCGTATAATCCTCAGTCATTAACCTGTTGATTAGTTTAGCCCCAAAACACAAAATAACGTCAACTACAGACGCCTAATCATTATCTGTTTATCTGGATGTAGAGGGCAGTGTGTTTGTGACCATTGCAGTGATCAGACTGAAAAGATCTACAGTGAATTGTATAGTACAATGAGTGTAATTTAACGATCTTTCTCTCTCCCTGTTCACAGACACATTTAGTGCAGAGACAGAGTGGTTGTGTCAAGCGTTGAACTGTAGCATAAATGAACCTGTGTAACAGCAGGAACAAAATGATAAGGTCTGAGGAACGGGACAGTACAGGGAATACAAATTGCTCTTTACACCAGGACTGAGTGTCTTCTTTCATCTTGTCTTTGTCTCTTCATCTCCATCCTTCTCAAAGTATAATTTCAGTGATACAAGTGACTAATGGGGCTTGAAACGTCAACTACTCACGTCATCCACCTCATGTATAACAATGATAGAGGTCTGGTCGCGTTCAAAATTTTGGTCTCAGTCTGAAACAATCCATGGAATACCTACTGAGATGTGACTTGTGTAAATTAATTTTCACAAACAGAAAGAGAAGGGATGTGAAGTTTGTCACACCGAGGATAATTAGTCCTACTCCTAAAGGCAGTCAACCTTTACAGATCCAAATAGAGAGAGAAACCAAAACTGGCAGCAGCATGATGCTCTACTAATAAACAAGCAGCCTTGTTATGTCAGAAAGAGCATAAATACATGTCCTCTCCAGTTCTCCAGTTCACACTTTCCATCTTCTGTCAAAAAACACAATTTTCTCCTGCCATGATGATGATACGCTGCATGATTAGATCTGAGAGTTTGTTCCTTCCAGCATTAGACATACAAACATCCAGTGTTGACACACAGACCTGAGATCTGTACAAATACAGCAGGACCCTACCTGACTTCATTTGACTGAATATAATTTGGACCTGGCCAAAATTGAGTCCTGGATTGCGGTTTCGGTTACTAGGAACCATGTAGAAACTATTTACAGCCATGTTGTTTAAAAACGCCAAGTCCTCATGTAGACTGGTTGCTCTTGGGAAACTTTTGCAGGCAGCAGCTGCTGCTGTATATTATCTCCACCCTTGAAATACCTAATATCAGACCCACCAACTATATCAGACCAACTTCAGCCACTGAAGTTTTAACAATACACAAAATCAGAAACACTGTGAATCAGGTAGAATAAACCAAAACAACACATCAGTATAAGAACAGCTTGATGAAGCTGTAAACATATACTCATCTGATTTCCAGAGTTATTCCTGCTGTTTGAGTTTTCTTTTGTAGCCACTGAAAAACTATTTTAGCTGACAACAGGTCTGTCTGGTGACGTTCATGTTAATGTATTATACTTATAGTCCATAACACATATATTACCACATTATGTCAAACAATCTGAAGAATGTCAGTAAAGAGTAGCGGTATTTTAAAAGCAGTGGATCTCTCACTACCTTGGATGTGAAGTCCAGTCACAAATGTTCAAGCAAAATGTGGAGTTAAAGGTGAAAACTCGAGTGTGTGTGGGAAGGCACCATGCAGAGCTCAGCAGCTGTCGTGTACTTTTTTACCCTGTTTAAAATGGCTCTGGTTTACATCTGAAGAGAAGAGTCAGTACTAATAAATTATTAGTGTCCTACAAAGACCCAGCCTGGTTTAACACCACAGATAAGTGTTTGCTGCTACTTTGGTATTTATGCTGTTGTAAATTCTGCGTACATCCATTCCTCAAATCTCTATACTGATTCATCCATGCAGCCTGTCCATATTTCTATGTTACTATATTTGTTCTGTCTGATGTAAAAATAGTGTCCTCAGGAGAGTAGAGAGTGTGTACAGGGCGTGTGTGTGTGTTACCTTGCTGAAGGCCAGACAGTCTTTATCCTGATCTTTGTCTTTGACCTCAAAGTCGTACAGTGCTTTGCCCTGGGGTGGAGTCTGACTCAGGGGACGCAACAACTGGATGTAACTCGCAGGCAAGAAACCATGGCAGCCGTTGAGCTCGCCATGGTACCAGTTGTCATCCACCTTGCGTCGCAGGATGATGATGTCACCCTTGGAAAACTGGAGATCGCCTGGTTCTTTTCCCTCGTAGGAGTAGAGGGCCTTACCACAAGGCAGAGCTGGGATATTCTGAAAAACATACACACATACAAAGACTTATTGTACAAGCAAAACACTTTTTAATACCTTGGTGTGGAGACAGTGAAGAGGTTCAGACATCACTGGTAAGTACAGGCTTAGCTGCAATGTTTCAAATTTAATGATGTTGGTAGCTCTTCAAGGTTCTTATGAAACCGTCTGAGAATGAAAAAGATCATTCTCATATCCACACTAAAACCATAACCTGTATGATTAGTAATCAGAACACAAGACATAAAGGAATAGGGACCACTGGGTTAGAGAATTCACATGCTGCTGTTTTGGAGACACTTGTGTTTTGCTCCTGAATTTCAACTTGCTGTTTCCTGTGGGCAGAGCAGATTACCTGCCTGTTATTTTAAACTACACTAGAAAACAGGAGAACAGGAAGTTCTTCTGCACTGCTGCCCCACATAGTGATTAACATAAAAGGTTAGGTGACAGGTGTATTTTTACATACAAATCTTGCATAGAGCAGCATTAAGTGCATTTTGAAACCTCTACGGAGAAGTAAAAGCATTGCTGTCAAGCATTAGTGCCACTGTGTCCAAATGATGCCAGATAACTACACCTCGTAAACCTTGGGGTTGACAATTTCCTGAGTTGACTGTGAACGGCTGTTTCATTATATTCCTTCTATTAAGGGGCTGGAAAATGTGCCTTTGTGCCATAGCTGGAAAAACTTGGTTCCAAGTCTGTTATGTGACAGTAAAAAACAGACCTTATCTGACTTTTGTACTGTTGTGTCTGTTTGTATTGTTCTCAACTCTCATTTTTACATTTGTGGTGCCCCATATTAGAAGGATGGTTCAAATGAGGCAGTGACTCCTGCAGTGATCAGTAAATTAATTGGGGAAAAAAACAGCCCAGGGGGCAAACTGGTTTTGTAGCAACTCACAACAGTGGAAAATCCAATATATTGCTCTGGAGGCAAATTTGTAGAGCATGGATAGTTGGATATGTGCTCCAAGTTTCATTTTATTCCCCTCAGCAGTATGTGAGATATGACTGGTTATTAAAATGTTTGCCAGGTAATTGCTGCTCCCACCTTGGGCAAAACACAGTAATTTTGAAAATGCCAGAGTGGCGTGATGCATGACTCCCTGGAGTTTCATCAAAATCAGCTCCACAGTGTCTCACTTATCACAAGTCAAGGGCAGACACATGCTGACCCATTTACCCCACCCAAACTGATTTCTTACATGATGCCATACTTGTGCGGAAAGTATCAAAATGATGCATTGAACTCAGTTCATGTTAAAGGTCTATTAACAACCAGTTCAGTGCCAGTTTTCAGTTTACTGCTCATTAACAGTGATTGCTGGACAGTGATTGTCCAATAGCTCAGCAATCCTAATTACACAGCAGGCTTGTAAAGCACTACGGTAGAGACCCAATTAAGTCTGCATAATGCGTTTGCTAAGTTCAACCCCATTCATTTTCTATGGGATATGAGTCAGTCGCTGGTAAGGCAACCTCCTTGCTGGCTTGTGAGTGTTGTGATAAGTGAGGAGTGCGATGTTGCACGATTTGTTCACTTCCAGTGGGTTTTCTCCCCTCTATCTCCAAATGTTGAAGTGGTGTGTACAGGGCTGTAACTATACTTGGCACAGAGCGGGTTTGCCTGCTCTAACCTGAACTGTGAGCATTAGCATTAGCATTATAGCTTGCTACTGTACAGAAATGATTGATAAGTACTTACAAGGTCAAAGAGGATATCATTAACTAACTATTACATTAGTTATGGGGTCATTTCCATGTCTACTACATGGATCATCAAGCGTTAACATCGTTGACTTTGTCTCTGGCATACAAAGCTTTAGCCGCAGTCTTTTAGCATTAAGATCCTTTGTACAAGATTCTCTCTTTGAAATAAGTCTGTTTGAAACATTAACAAGTCAGCCAGAGAGGACATTTACAACATTATCTGAGTTTGTTAGCTTGCTACAGCTCATGAAATTCTGTTAGCGGCTGCTGTCATTTCAGGTGAAAAAACTGAAGTTGCGAAGCCTGCGTTTGTCCACCTCTGTCTGAAATCAAGGTACCATTGTTTCAAAATTTGTTTCAAAAGGATTTCAACTTTGTCAGACATTGCAACGATAACTTAAGGTGAGTGGGGCATCAATGAACATGCACTTGCATCAAACTGGATCAATTTCATTATATAAGATGGAATCAGTGTGTATCTTTTTTTCTAATGAAAAGGCCCCAATCTACCGCCAGATGACATAAAAACGGAGACAGACATTCAGCAAATGTGTGTTCAGCACACATTTTAAATACCGCACATTTTCCTGAAGGAGACAGGTATTAATAGGGAATTTATCTTAAAGAAGATCAAGGTAAACAAACAGCAGCGGTAACACAAGAGAGGATGTATGAAAGAAAAATGTCTTTTCTTCACCTCTTCACAGAGAAAGTGTTTACAATAGCACTAACAGATACACACTTTTGAGGACACACACACTTTTTATATACTCACATACAGACTGATTCTCCCTAGATGCTACACTGAAGAGAACAGCCTGAGGCACCACTGCCTGACTGTACTGGGATCAGTGGTGATGCAATAAGAGGAAACACACACATATACACGTACGTACGCACAAACAACAATAACAACAACAGATAACAAAACAAAAAAAAAACACAGCACTACTGTGGGCTTTACTATTACTCTTGCTACTAGTGATATTTATTACAATTAATATGAATAAAACTGCAACTTCTAAGTTCTGTTCCCAGCAGGAAAAAAAGCCTCATTCAAAAATCCCAGTCCCATTTATAACTAGGCTAATAACAACAAACTAGAGACCATCTTGCAATGGGGTCACACCAACTGTGACGCTGGACAATATGTTGATATTCCGACCCATGAGAACTCAGTAGTTATTACTAAATTATTGCATAAGAACTCAGTACTCATGGGTCAGACCACATTCATCTATGTATCCATCCACACAACACAAACTACACACCTGTGAAGTTTCGGCATGGATTCTGACGCTATTGTAGTGACAAAATCTATCCACAGACAGACAGACATACAAACACCTGCCAAAGTAGTCATAACTTCTGCCCAGATAATGTTCACAGGTAACATTTTTTGTGAGTGAAGAAGGTGCTACATTTTTGTTCCACAGAGTGGTTGATGGGTTGTCACGCAAGACTGTGGCCTAACAAAGCGCAGGACTTTAACATTAGATACCATGGATGGCATCTGAGTTCCACCTGTGGTTTAAGGCAACAAAAGCACTTTGGATAACAGTAGGAAAAGATTGTAGTTTCAGTTAAATGCCACTAAAGTAAAGACCAACTTTCCCTAACCTTAACCACTTGCTGTGGGTGCCTGAACATAACCATGTTGAGCAGCAACCTTAACTCCCTCTATTGTGCTGCTGGGGTTTGTTTGAATGAGGCCATCAGCAGCAGCTCCACCGGAACAGCTGGGAGTGAAATCCCCACCAAAAGAAAAGGTAACCTCCTAAAGGCTGCTGGAGGGCCTAATCAGGGAGCTGCTGCAGTTTGCTGCTCGATGCCGGGGGAAAGGGAGGTCGCTACGCTCTGTCTCCTGAAGGCATCATCTAAAACTGGGGACAGACTGCTGTCTAACTCTTCTCTGAGCCTGGGGCAGGCAGGTCAAGCTGCATGTAGGAGGCCTCTATTTCAAAACTAGAAAACATCCCACCTCAATCTAAATGATGTTGTTTGTGTGCTTTTCTAGGTATAACCCTATCCCTAACTGATTAATGTGCACCACTAGTGGTGTCACTCTCAACCACACATAATGGGCCTTTTAACAATCAACAGATGCCTTCAGCCTTCAGGTTTCAAATGGAAACATTCTTCTTCTATGGGTTGAAATGTCAATTATTGCTACATAAGACATAGGCGAGAGACAACATATTGCCACTTTAGTGGAATGTTGGCTGTTCAAATATAAAATAAAATAAGACAATATTACACCTTAGATTTTAGGGGAAAGAGACATTTGTGAGACTTAAAAGATGAGCTGAAATGACAAATACAAAATTTAATAGTGCATGTACTTTCTCCTCTTTCCTGTCTCCTCATCTTAACTTTTCTTTCGTCCTCGCTCTTTTCCCCTCTGCCACTTTTGTTCTACCTGCTGAGCTACTGGAGCGGCTGTGGCAGTATTAGCGCTTTGGTTAGAGTCTTTACAGCACTGTAAAAGCCCTTTACCACATGTACTTTACTCCATAAATGTTCTGCCAAGTTTACTCGTTGGCATCATGTTTGAAAAGGACCCTGAGTCACTGTAAACCTCTCTCTAAGAATTTGCCAGGATGTGGCAACATTTCTGTAACTCTTCCTTTATGGCTCGAGTGAGAACATACAGCAAAGCACCAACATAAACAGATACTGCACACACAAGCTTATAATGGTCTAGACAATGTACATATTTACCACAAACTATAGGTTACTACAAATATGTGCATCCTGTGTCACCTTCTTAAGACGGGAACGTGTCTATGTTCCCACAGCCCTATATTCCCCTTTTATACCCTTTCAGAACGCTTTGCATCCACGTTCCACGGCGTCTTCACATTTATCCACCTCAGCGATCGTTTTTGTAAAGAATTGTTTTCAGTTTCGGAATTCACCGTTCTAATGTGGATGGAAGGGCTAACCGGATAAATATTACCCGGGTTAGTGTGGACATGGGCTTAAGAGAACATATAAGACTGTGGGAAAATAGGGCCTAATTTTCAAAACATTCTTAGAAATGTGGGAACATAGGGCTGTGGGAACATAGGGCTGACCCCCTTAAGACAGCAGTGTAATAAACTTAACATGCAATTATCATTTATATGCACAAAGATATAAAAGCCATTGGAGAATAAACCAATTCCAATGAATAAACCAATTCCAGCTACAATTTTGTAGAGGAAATATATTTAAAGCTGTCTTATCCTTGAATATATTTATTTTTTTGTTGCAGAGCAGGTTAAAAAAATCTTCTTGGAAAT